TATTTTTTTATGTTTTTTTTTAATGTTTTATGTTTTTCTATGCAAAAATGCATCATGACTTTTCTGACAACTCAGGATTTCAGAGGTGGAATTGAAGCAGTCTAGCTTACACTGTGAAAATGTCAACACTTCCATAGGTTCTTACAAGTGACAGCAACTGCCACTGGTAAAGCACTAGGTGATATTTGCTTTTGTGTGTGTGTTTTCTATGTATTGGATGTATAAATAGATATTACTGCTCCCTTAAATATACAGACATTTTGTCAACCCAATAACATACACAGTATTTTATTTACTTTTTAAGAATTAAATTCAGGGGCTGGCAGGTGGTATGGTGGTTAAGGGCGCTGGACTTCCATGTGGCCAATGGTGGTTTGAGTCCTGGAGCTGGCGGCTTGCTCTCTCACGCTGGTCAAATTAAAATAAATAAATAAATGAATAAGGTTAAATAAAATAATTCTTTTAAAAAACCTTTTTAAGATTAAAAAAAAGAATTAAATTCAAAGGAGCTAGGTTTCCTTGTGTTTGCTTAAATTGGGGAAGAACTGTTTCTCAAAAAAAAGTACAGTATAATTGGATACAGTTAAAAATGTATTATCTATTATTTTATCTCATTGAAGCATGTCTGGTATTTTTGTGATTTTTTTTTTTTTTCCAAGTGGGACTTGCTGGAGAGCTGCCTATTTGAGGCAGTAGGACGTCTTGGAGAGCACACTGTCTTGGGTGGAATCAGCTTTCTTACTAGCAGTTAAGCGGTTTACTCAGTCTGGGGGGGGGGACGTGCCTCGTTTTTTTCAAGGAGGGATGGACTCCCTGATCTTTAAGACTCCTACTGACTAAAATTCTGTAACACTTTCCTCCTAGAAGAAACTGTGCTCTTACATTTTAAAACGCACCTTTTTTTTTAAGTTCTGAAAAGGAAACTCGATTTTGCTGGAAAATATTTCTGGCAAAGTATATGAATCTGGCTAGACGTTTTTGAAATTCAGTAAAAGAACTGAGGCATCGTGCACATCTAAAATACGACTGTTCTGGGCTCCAAAGACTCGGGAGCTAAACGCACTTAAACCTCTGCAGGTTCAACTGTCTTCCCGAGTAAGTGATGCTTTTGGAAACACATTTGGACAGTTGAGTGGGATAAATACGACTACAGAAAAATTAGCAAGCCAGCCGATTCCCTTTCCCGCCCTTAAGAAACTTGTGTCTAGACGCAAAAGGGTTCTAGATCCTCCGGAAGAGCAATGGCAGAGTGGGGATAAGTTTCTGGGCGCGTTTCCTCTCCACCTGCTGGTCTAATTCCGTCTCCAGCGCGGTCTGATAAGGAATGGATCCTCTCCCTCCTCTCCGCCCTCCCCTCCTCCCTCCCTGCCCCGCGCCTTCTCCCTGAGTAACGATGCTGTCCTAGCGAGTGATGCTGTCGGAGACTGGCGACCTGCACGGAGGAGGCGGCGCCGCGCGGGGCCGGAGAGCCTTTCCCGGCACCCGCGCCCGACTGGGCCCGCAGCTTCCTCCTGGCAGCCCCCCCCCCCGCCGCCGCG